AAATCCACTCTCTGAAGATGTATTGTAGCACATGGGGAAAATTACTTATTTGGGATCATTCCATTGAATTTGTTCAAACATTGTTCGACTGTTCACTTGCTTGCTGGCTGGGGAATTCTGGGAGTTGAAGTCTACAGGTCTTAATGTTGCCAAGTTTGGACACCCTGCTCTTGAAAGATCTCCCCAAGTAGGCTGCCTCTATTCTAGTCAACCGAATCAAGAGACTTCCTACTCCAGTGATGGCGAACCTTTTAGAGACCGAGTGTCCAAACTGCAACCCAAAACCCACTTATGCATCGTTGACTACCGGGTGGGTGTGGCCCATTGGCTGGGTGTGGCCCATTGGCTGGGCTTTGCCCATTGGCTGGGCGTGGCTGCAGTGGTAACGGCCAACTGGGTGGGACTAAAAAGTTCAAGCAATCAATTCCAACTTTGCAAGTCTTCTTTTTCCCCGCCAGAAGTTGAAATTGACTGATTGATTGAACCTTTTTTTTTTGTACATGGCAGCAGAGGCCTAAAGTGAAAAGGTTTTATAAAACCCAGCTGAAGGCCTAGGACTGGGGCGACGGTGGATGTGCCCACAGAGAGGGCTCTGAGTGCCGCCTCTGGCACCCGTGCCATAGGTTCACCACCACTGTCCTACTCATTGCTTTGCAGTCTGGAAGGCAAAATGCACAGAGAAAAAACCAACAGGGGGAAAAACTGACAAAATGCAAGGTTAAACGCTCATTCTTAAAGATAAAGAAATGGGACCAAGCAGTCAACCTCTATCCTTAGTGATCCCACCTGGGATTAAAATATAATGTCTGCATGAGCAGCGATATAGTTGAAATAGTACCTACTGTCTTGTTTTATAAGGAAAGTTAAAACAGAACCTATTTCTTTGTTTTCATGGAGTACGGTCTCACACACAAATGTAAACACACAAGAGAAACCCATATAGATTGTAGAATGAGTTGGAAGGGACCTTGGAGGTCTTTTAGTGCAACATCCCCCCCCCCCAAGCAGGAGACTGACAGCTGGCTGTCCAGTCTCTTCTTAAAAGTATTTTCATGGAGCAGGACCACGCACACTTGTAAACACACATAGAAACCCATCAATTAGCTTAATTGTGTTCCTTTTTTTTAGTAATAAATATAAACTCAAGCACTGATATTTCCCTTGTTTCTTTGGCATCCTGATGATTGTTTCACATCACAAAGTTTGGGAGATTCAGGTTTGCCACCACACAAAACCTCAGCAGAAAGCTAGCACCATCTTTGACTTTTCAAGATGCGAGCAGCAGATATTTGCAAACCTGTTGTAAACATGTTTCCCTCCTCCCCTTGTGTAATCCTAAGAGGTGACAATTGTTCTCTCGCTTTAATTTTGAGACAACGGGTGGAATGGTAGCGTTTGCGGTCTCCTTCTCCTGCAGGCAATTGCTTTTGTGTCTTAACTTTTAAAGAAAGAATGTAAAAGCTTGGGAAATTTTATTATTTTTTAGAATGTAGACCACTCAGAGTCCCTGTCTGAGAGGGATGGGCAGTTAAGAAACACGAAGTATAAAGAAGCAAATACAACAACGCAGCCTGAATTAAAACTAAATCTTAGATTCAAACTAAGGATTTGGAATCTACTTTCTCTGCAGTAATGTGGATTCTTTGGTGATTTTAGTGAGCGTCCTCTTTGTAACAGAGATGCAAGTGTGACTGAATGTTTATTCTCCGTCATCCGGGTCATGGTTGTCCCAAAGTTGCTTTTTCAGGAGGCAACTGGACTTTTTCTTAGAAGACGTTACTCTTGTCATCCAAGAAGCTTCTGCAGCTCTGACAGCTGTCTGCAAGGAGTATAAATCCTTCTGTTCCCCGCCATCCAGTCAGAGCTGAAGAAGCTTCTTGGATGAGAAGGGAAACCTCTTCAGAGAAAAACGAGAAAGTCCAGTTGCCTCTTGAAAAAAAGCACCTTTTGGAGTGTGACTGAACACAACAACTCTAGCCAGGAAGACAGGAAAGTGAATCTGAAGTTCATCCAGAGCAGGGCCTTCTGCTCCATTCCTTGAGCCTGAAGTTTCAGATAGTCTAGATACAGTTCACTTACCTCAAAGCAGACAACGTCAGGCTTACTCTACGAGTACAGCTCAATAAGTTTGCAGCCAACTCTGGGGGGGGGGGAAATCCACAGTTTTAATATAATATAATAATAATAAAGTTGGAAGGGACCTTGGAGGTCATCAAGTCCAACCCCCTGCTCAGGCAGGAAACCCTATACCATTTTGGACAAATGGCTGTCCAGTCTCTTCTTAAAAACTTCCAGTGTTGGAGCATTCACCGCTTCTGGAGGCAGGTTGTTCCACTGGTTAATTGTCCTCACTGTCAGGAAGTTTCTCCTTAGTTCTAGGTTGCTCCTCTCCTTGGTTTGTTTCCATCCGTTGCCTTCAGCTGCTTTGGAGAATAGCTTGACTTCCTCTTCTTTGGGGCAGTCCCTGAGATATTGGAACACTGCCATCATGTCCCCAGTGCCATTGACTTTCCGCTTCAGGGCTGGGAAAGAACCGGCAGCCGAGGTAAAGGAGGCCACGGGACCACCTTCTCGAGATCTTTCTCCAGCGGCCACCGAACAGCCCAGAACCCCCCCTCCTCCACCTGGCTAGGCGGCAACCAAGCGGGAGGACAGGAAGCTTTGGGATGAGCCTGGGAGGCACCCACCCACCCCCCACTCCCCGCCCTTAGAAGCCGGATTTGAAACCCCGAACAGAGGGGGCGCGGCCAGCTCGGGGGGCGGGCGGGGCCAGAATCGGAGACAACGAGGCCCGTGGATCGCAAGCCTGCAGAATAAAGACTCGGCAGGCGAGGAGTCCGGCTCCTTCCCTCCGCCAGACAAGGTGGGTGGATGGGAGACGACGGAGGGGGGGGGAGTGTTGCCTTCTTCTCTCTCTCCCCCAGGACTGGCTTTGGTTCAGGGTTAGCCAGGGAGGCTGGGGGTGGCCCCGGAACGAAGCCGTGGCATTACTCCTCCCTACTCCATCTCAACTCTGAGACTGGAGCGCGAGTCGTCCCCCGTTGTTTCCCCCTCCCCACGCCCCCCCCACCGGTCTCGATCCTGGGGGAGGCTGGAAAGGCTGGAGGCGACTCTTCGCTCCTCGGGAGCCGGAGCTGCTCTCTCTTGCAAACGCCCGGATTCCTCCAGACGAAGAGGAGAGGGCGGCCGGGGTGGGGAAGGGCCACCTCCCTCTTCTGCTCCCTTTAATTTGGATGCCTTCCTTTTTTCCCCAGCAGGGAGCCTCGGACAGCTGCTGCGGGATCGGGACCAGCCGTCCCCCCGTTTCTGTCGCCTGCCGAAGGAAAGGAAACGAAAGCAAAGGGGAGGAGGCGGCAGCGGCGATCGCCCGCCTTGCAAGCGACTCCAAGCGCGGAGCAGAGCCGGGGATCGCTCGGCCAGCGTCCTCCTCCTCTTCCTCTTCCTCCTCGCTGCTCTCTCCTTCTCTCTCTCTCGTTTGGGGGAAAGGTGAGCCCTTCCGCTGAAGGCCACCTGCCGAACCGAGGCTCCCGCACGCACACCTGTCTCCGCGGACGCCCAAGCCTGCCTGATCGATGCGCCTCGCCTCGCCTCGCCCTCCGCGCCCAGGTGGCCGCGCAGGCAGGCCGAAAGCAACCGGGCGGGAATCAGGAGCTCGCTCCGCCGAAGTCGCTTGCCGCGCCAAACCTTCCCTCCGGAGCGTTTCTTTTGTTCAGCGGCCAGCGCCAGGCAGGGCCGGGGAGGGGCGGGTCTCTTCCTTCGGGCTCTCCCGCCTCCTCCTCCCCCCCCTCCCAGCCTTTTCCCTAGCGGAGCAAGTCTCTCCAAAGTTGAGTTAAGCGAGAGGAGAGCTTGAACGGACGGAGGGCGGAGAAGGAAAAGGCAAAGAGCGAGCGAAGCCAGCGCTCCCTGTTCTCCGCCACTGTTCCCTCCCCAGGACCGGCCAGGCTGGGGGTTCAGGGGGTTAGGCTCCCGGCCTGTAGAGGGATGCTTCGCTTCTTCTCCAAGGCTTTGCGCGCAGGACACCTTGGGCACAGCAGCTGCCCCAGGCTGGCCTTTACCGTGGGCTGATCTCTCTGGCTCCCGCCGCTCCAGCCTGGCGAACATTTGCCTCTCATTTCCCCCTCACACTTTTTCGGGGGGGGCGATTGGAGGAGGAGGAGGAGGATCTAAGGCAGACTCGGGGTTTGCAAGCTGTGGTCAGTCGCTCTTTCCCTTCCCGGAAGTTCTCTCCCCGTCCCCTCTGAGCTCCGGGAGCCTGGCCGATGCCGGGGGAGGCCTCCTCCGGGAGAATCACCACTGGACTGGGCACTGCTGCCTACCCGCCGGCCGCTTCTGCGGAGACAGCCCAGCCCTACCCGGGCTGGAAGAGGCGTGCCTCTCGGCCGTCTTTCCAATGCGGCTCCCCTCTGCCCCCCCTCCTCCCAGGCATACCTCATTTAAGCTCCTCTGATGGGACCTCCGCATCCTTCCACCCCTCCCGGGGCTTAAGACCTGCCCGGGAGTAACCAAGCTTCGGAAAGGAAGCGCCCGCAGGAAAGAGAAGCGAGGAGGAGAGAGAGAGAGAGGGAGAGAGAGAGAGAGAGAGAGGGAGAGAGTAGAGAGGAGAGAGAGGGAGAGGGAGAGACAGGGAGAGAGAGAGAGGGGGGGAGAGAGAGAGGGAGGGAGGAAGGGAGGGAGAGGGAGAGAGGGAGAGGGAGAGAGAGGGAGGGAGGGAGGAAGAGAGAGGGAGAGGGAGAGAGAGAGAGGGAGGGAGGGAGAGAGGGAGGGAGAGAGAGAGAGGGAGGGAGAGAGAGAGAGAGGGAGAAGTAGAGCCCGGGAGTTCTCCGCGCCAGCGGCTCGACGGGGGCCGGGAGTTTGCCAAGAGTGGGCGGCCTGCGGGGCTGGGCGAGAGAAAGCGTAGCTCCGGCTGAGGCCAGGCTGGCCGGTGCCTCCCTTCCCCTCCTGACGGCTCCAAGCTGGCTTGTTGAGCAGAGGCGCCTTGATGGCCCTGCGCGCCGGGACGGCTTGCTTTGCGCAGCTCTTGCGCAGCCTTTGCCGGCTGCGCCTTCCGCTGACCAGACGCTCCAGCAGCCTCCTCTGCCTCTCCGCCTCCCACGAAGCCGACCACGCAGGCGGAGAGCAGTCGCCGCCGCCGCCGCCGCCGATTCAGCACCAAGGACAGCCGCCGCGGAGAGGGAGCCCTATTGCACGCCGCTGCCGCCGCCGCCCCGCGCTGCTCGCCTGGCGGGGCGGCTGCCTCGGGGCCACCCTGTCGGATCCGCGGGCGGCCAGGGGGGGACATGGTCCCCTCCGTGGACCCTTCCTGGCGGCCATGAAGAGGCAGAACGTGCGGACTCTCTCGCTGATCATCTGCACGTTCACTTACCTGCTGGTGGGGGCGGCGGTCTTCGACGCCCTGGAGTCGGAGCACGAGCTGCGCGAGGAGGAGCAGCTGAAAGCCGAGGAGACTCGGCTGAAGGGGAAGTACAACATCACCAGCGACGATTACCAACAGCTGGAAGAGATCATCATGCAGTCGGAACCTCACCGGGCTGGCGTCCAGTGGAAATTTGCCGGCTCTTTCTACTTTGCCATTACAGTCATCACCACCATTGGTAAGTCCCCTTCTCCGTGGTCGGTGGGAGGGGGGGGATGGCTTGGGGGGGGGGGTGAAGGAGGCCAAGCCTTATCTGAGCGGTTGACAGGTGGACCCAAAAGCAAGGAAGAAATAAGAAGGGACCGATGCCTCGAGCTAAGATGAAAGGTGGGACAACTGTAGGGTTGTGGGAAGAGAAGGCAAGGAAAACATTGGATGCGAGGCTGACGTTTCACCCCTCCTTGAAGATCTGGGGTTACTGTCAAGGGTCTTCCCTTCCCTTTAAAATCTGAATTTCCCAAACTTACACGCTTGAGTCTTCTCCACTTGCCCGTATTCCTGGGAAAAGTTTTCTTCATTGCAAAGAGCTAGGTTGGGAGTTAAAACAGTGACTGGAAAGCTTTCGGAGGAAATTAACTGTTGCTTCTATCTCTCCACACCCATGTCTGGGAAGCAAATCACGAGCTTGTTTCATCAGAAATACAGAGAGGTGCAAGGATATGCTTTTGGCATTATTCATTGGCTTGGATCCCTGATATAAAAATACTTATTTGGAGAAGGAAAGTCAGCACAACAACTTTTCAAAACAATTAGGCCTGCTATCCTAAGAACAAGCCCTGGGAACTATTTGTCACATTTAGCCGTCTGCGGGGCAGGACTTGTGGAAGGATTTGAGCTGCAAGTTTTTTGTTTAAGCTTGATCTCGTGTCCTAGGGAAATGATTTGCAAACTTCCATGGCTGTTCCCAGGCTATTATTATAAAACCACTTTAACGGGGTAAATAGGAATCTTTACAAATGGATAGTTTGGAAGATGTTATATCTGAGTTGAAGGGTTATGTTGGGCTACAAAGAACTCAGTATTACACTTTTAACTGCTCCTTCTGATTGTTTAGTTAGTGGTGAATTGTCTAGAAAGTCTTTATGACTATCCTAGTTATGGGCTCCCATCTTCTACCACCTCTTCTGAAAAAGGAAATAGCCAGGCGTCAAGCAATATAACAACTTTGGGAGTATTTCTTTTTCAACAGTTGGACAAAGACCTAAACTGTTTTTGGTGCAGTAGAATTGGCAGTAGGCTCCAGAGAAACTTTCCTTCCTCAGTTTAAAGTCAGTGTTGGTCTGTCAACCCCATCAGTCTGAAACTCCTGGTTAAAAAAAAGTTAGCAAAAAAAAAAAAAAAAAAAACCCAGAAAAATATCGAAGTGGTGGGGTGCCCTCTCTAACCATTTTTGCGGTTGCTCCGTTACGAGATGCGTATGTTTAAAAACCTGATGGATATGTCTTCTTAGAACATCTCTACCTGTGGCAGTCCCAAAATATTACTGGTTAATTTGATGCCTTGGTTGGATTCTAGTGGGCAGGACATGAACAAATAGAATTGCGTGGTTAATCACGATGGAAATTATGTGACCGTTTGGTCTTGTTGCACCAACAGGGTCATTCATACTTGAAAAGGCTGCCCATTTTCTGAAGAAAGTCCATTTCATCTTAATTAGAATTGTCAGCAAGACAAACGACACAGCTGCCACGTTCTTTAGGTTTAGGATTTTGATGTTCTTACCTGTGGCAACGGATCGCTAACTGGACAGATGATCCAGCACAATTCTGTGACTGGTGTCTTCATCTGGGAAAAAAAGTTTTGTCCGTGTCACATGTCCGCGTCGATTCACTTCATTCTTACATACAGGTCTCTTTCTTATCTTATAATGAAGCTTCCCTGTGAATCCGCTGTCTGAGTGATTTAGGACCGGTTTTAACACCTGTTTATGAGTGGAGAGGCTAGGAAGATAATGTTTAAAAAAGTATTCCAGCTGCTTCTTTTTATGGTGTTTTAATTTTACTATTAATTTTAGTTAGTGGCCCTTTTAGAGTGTCTATGTGCTACAGCAAAAATCAAGTATTTTGCTTTCATTTGGGTTGGCTATTAAGTTAATAATGCAGATAATAAGAACGAAAGTTGAACAATGAAGGGGAAATCGTTGGTGTAGAGGGAGGCATTGGTGGAAATTTGCTGCCCTCCACATTTCTGAGTTGTTAATTTTAGTAGGAGATGTAAATGCTTAACTTCTGTGCTTCTGGAACGTCACTAGCACTTTCTCATTTTGTTAACCACCAACATCACAAAAGTGGCCAAGATTTTAAGTAATCCTGGATTCCGTGAACTGGCTGTGCTCCACTAAGAGTTGGAATAAAATATGGTGTACCTACACATCCAACATCTAACTGTAGGTTTTAAAAGTCTGGATAGTTTCAGTGGATGTAGCAGATGGGAACTTAAGGCAATTTATAGCAAAGGCAGCTCCTGCAGGCAATTCTAGATCCTGAAGGAAAATATAGTTGAAATCTATAAAACCATACATTAAAAAAAGGGACTGGAAATATGTTGTTCTCTTGCTCCCTGTGGAATTTATAGTCCTTCGTTGCAGAAAAATAATGCGGAAAACCAGAATAATAAAAGCAAGAAGTTTCTATACCCAGTGTAGAATCCAACAATGGAATTCCATTCTTTATCTATTGAGTGGCATGGTGGTGACCTAGGGGTGAAGAAGATACTTGCCTCCACTTGGAAGGTTGAGGGTTGAGTCCTAGGTAGGAGCAGATGTTTCTCTCCTAGGATGCAAAGAAAAAAAACATATCTGTCAGGAAGGGCATTTGGCCATAAACACTCAGCTCCAGTCGCCCCAACTCTACCCCAGATATGGACCACAGGGTTATAAAAAAGGATCCATCCATCGATTCATCCATTGTGAGTAGCCCAATTATTTCCTGAGATGGGTGGCTATTAAAATCTCTCTCTCCCACCCTTTCTCTCTCTGTCTCTCTCTTTCCCATCCATCCATCCATCCATCCATCCATCCATCCATCCATCCATCCATTGTGAGTCAGCTAATTATTTCCTGAGATGGGTCTCTCTCCCTCTCTCTCTCTCTCTCTCTCTCTCTCTCTCTCTCTCTCTCTCTCTCTCTCTCTCTCTCTCTCTCTCTCTTTCTCTTTCTCTCTCTCCATCCCAGGAAATTTCTCCTTAGTTCTAGGTTGCTTCTCTCCTTGATTAGCTTCCATCCATTGCTTCTTGTTCTGCCCCCAGGTGCTTTGGAGAATAGCTTGACCCCCCTCTTCTTTATGGCAGCCTCTGAAATATTGAAAGACTTCAATTGTGTCACCCCTAGTCCTTATTTTCACTAGACTAGACCTACCCAGTTCATGCAACCGTTCTTCATATAATAATAATAATCATAGTAGTAAAGTTGGAAGGGACCTTGGAGGTCATCTAGTCCAACCCCCTGCTCGGGCAGGAAACCCTACACCATTTCGGACAAGTGGCTGTCCAGTCTCTTCTTAAAAACTTCCAGTGTTGGAGCATTTACTGCTATCATCTTTGTTCCTCTTCTCTGTACTCTTTCTAGAATCTCAACATCTTTTTTACTCATGGTGACCAAAACTGGTCACGTGGTAGTGTGTCACATCATTCTGCCCTAAATCAATGCGTAACTTCTTTGTTGGTCAAGGATGTGTTAATCTTCATCATGGAATTAGTTGCCTGTGGAACCTATCAAAATTAATGGCAAATTAAGCATGATTTGATTTCGGCCCCACGGAAATTCAGGCAATTCACAGTCCATGAATCTGTTTGAACAACACCCAGGTTTCCTGCGTGCAGTGAGGCATAAACCGATGAAATGGGTTAGGTTTTCACAACTAACCAACGTGAACCAACTAGCCAAGTATGTGTTAGATCTTTTCCTTCATTTATTGCTGTGTGAAGTCTTTCAGAAGAAGTGAGATAGATTAGCCTTTTCTCTTTAATGGTTGATTTCTGTCCCACATTCACATACATTTTTCTTTTGTTCTTTTTTGACTTTAGAATTTTTCTTTTTAAAGTTGAAAAAACTGGTTGTTGACATGAGGGATGCTGCTTTTGTTGAGCATTTGATGTTGGTTTTTTTTTTTAAAAAAAATTGTTTCTATTTTTAAACTCACCTTGAAGACATTGTTTGCTCACAGTTTTTTCTGTTGAGAAGTCAACCTGAGTAGAATTCAGAATAAAAAAATTTTTTTTGTGGCATAATGAGAAAAGATTTAGCATTTCACTGCATTGGGACACTAGAATTTTTGTTGCAAATACAATTTGCAGCATCCATGAATACGTCTAGTTATATTTTCTAGATATGATTCTTATTAAAGATTGGGAGGAGAAAGGAATGAAATGGAAATACTAATAATGTTTCAAAGATTAACTTCTCTGGATGATAAATTGACATTTGGCTCTGAAATGGTTAAAGCTTTTAGAATTTTCTGATGGTTTAAAACATTTGAACATCTAGAATTAAAATTCTCTCATTTCCTCCCAGCTACTGTCTAAATTTGATAGTTCTTTTTATAGTTTGATTATTAACATTTATTGCTAGATCCTGATTTTTTGTTTGTTTGAACCAAACCATAAGAGTGACGTTCCAAGCTAAAAAATAGACACTGCAGAGGATTGAGAGACGGCAAATAAGTCAATAAGAAATAACTGTGAACAAATGCCATTACTGATAGGATGATCTTCTTACAGATTATTGTTCAATTTTGTGATTAAGGTCTGAAATGAAAGCTTGGTGAAGAAAACATATTTTATCCTTGCGTAATTTGGAGAGTCTTTCTGTTTAACTCTTGAGATGCTTTGTTCATTGCCTTAAACCCTAGTGTGATTTGTAAAGCATAGTTGTAAGCATGAGTTAACATAATGTGTGGATGCAACCAATGATGGTTTATTCAATAAAGTCTACTTATTTGTAGTGATTAATTAAATTTAAATGCTGCCTGACTCCTAGTGACCTAAAACAAGATTTGAATCCAGTCACTGCTTCTAAGCCTACAAGCCCAGTATCCAACAGGGTTTAATCTGTAAGATGTTCCAGACTGACATCTGCTACAAACAATGTTGATGCCAAAATAAGAACTTGCAAATTCTGTAATTACATACTTGTATCTCTCCATTTGAAAAATATATATGTCCCAGCATTTATAAGACAAT